TGTACAAGAGCTTCAAATACAGTTTCCATTTTGTATCGTTAGATTCTGGTTAACATTTCTGAAACTAGTATAGTAGTGATGTAATAAGATAAAAGAACTTTAAGAAGGTGAAGACCTACTTCCTTTCCTCATTTTATTTTTCTACAATTTTAAGGCAGAACAACGGATTTAGAGGACGTTGCTCGACTCGACCCTTACGGAGAGGAGGTATGGGCTAAAGCATAACTTAGTTCATCTTAATATGTTATTAGCTGTTACTTTTATTCGCCTTGGTCCTATCATCTTTATTAGTATTATTGTTATTATATCATCATCAAAGTTATTGTTATTATAATTATTATTATGGTTATTTATTATATTACTTATTAATTTTCTGCTATATTTTTACAGAATTTAATGGTGTCTTTTTAGGGCGTGGGGGAGCAGACAGATACAAAGGAGCGCCTCCTAGATGAACTCCCCTCGTGGTCGGTGGTTTTCCGTCGACTGTGTAGAAAGATCATTCACGACCGCTCCAAAGCTGAAGTTTTCTCACCAAAGCATCTTACCAGTAAGAACCCAAATGGATGTAAACAATATATCTTTTATTTTATTTTTTTATTTTTTATTGTAATTATGGATATTGGTTAGTAATTTATATTTCTTTTCCTTTTATTTTTTTCGCATATCTTTCGTTGGTTGCCCTGTGGCCCTACCTTCCTTTCTTCTCCTTGTCTCTTCCTTACTTTGAGCGCGCTCTCTCTGTCCTCTCTTTCTCTCTGATATGATTACGAATTTCCAACGTTATCATACATTGTTTAGCTCATACAAGATCTACCTGATGAGATTATATATTAAAATTTAAAGTAGTTAATCCTCTCGATTAGCGCGTGTCACACACACACACACCACACACACACACCAACACACACAATACACACACACCAACACACACCACAAACGCACAAAAACACTCACGACAAACACACACATAACATAACACCACACACACACACACATACACAAACACACGCACACACATCCATACAAACACACACACAACAAACCACCAAATCCACACACAAATACCACACACACACAAGATACACACACACACACACAAACACAACACACACACTACTACAAGCCACACATCACAAAAACACACACACAAACACCAACACACACACATACTAAACACACCACACTACATAGCACACAGCACACACATACATACACCACACACTACAAACACGCACACAAACACACTACACACACAAACACACACACA